AAAAAATTCAATATTAATTTAAGAAACTATACTTTTTTAAAAAAATTATTGTACCAACGTAGTCTTCGTTGGTAATAAAATAATGATTTTGTTTCCCCATGACCAACTCCATGTAAGTTGCTAAAATAGTGATATTGCAGCTTTTTTTTTTTTTTTTTTGTAGTCGAGAAAGAATGCCGATAAAAGTTTTGTCAATAAATTTTTCATAAATAATATTAAATATACATGTTACAAATACTAGTCTTGTTAGTAAATTTACCGATGTGAGCAGTCAAGCAATTGTACTTTTCTGATCAAATAGTTTGAGGCATGCTCTTTGTTGATAAGTTCAAGTAGAATGCCGATAAAAGTTTTGTCAATAAATTTTTCATAAATAATATTAAATATACATGTTACAAATACTAGTCTTGTTGGTAAATTTACCGATGTGAGCAGTCAAGGAATTGTACTTTTCTGATCAAATAGTTTGAGGCATGCTCTTTGTTGATAAGTTCAAGTAGTTTACCGAGGTGAATTTAAATTACGCCGGTGAATAAATTTTCAGAAAAACTTATACCAACAAGTATTTGACCGAGGTGTTTTGAGTTGAAAAGGTTTTTTACCGATGTTATTCCCTTAGTTTCCGATGAAATTTCTTGCCAGTGATATCATGTATTTTGGATGATCTTACAAAATTTTTTATTCAAATAAAGTTATATGTTTAATTTGAGTGTTAAATGATAATCTTCTATAATTATTAGCTAAACTAAACCAACCATAACACTAAGCTACAGTTTTCGCTGATTTTACCGTATTTATGAGCAACTAGAGAACTGCAAGCATGCCTCTTACATTAGTGGTTTCTAACTTTCTATATAGTTGCATCTACAAACGACGACATTTTAACATTCGAGGGAAGAAAGATACAAACTGGTCCAAGTTCAATCCCATAATTGAAACAAATTCTCCACCCAAACTGCCATTAAGTTATAATTAATGTAGTGGTTTAAGCATAAAATAATAATAATAATCATGATAACAAGTTATGAAGTAGTTTTATTTTTAGCTTCAGGCCTTGAGCTGCCAAGATGAAATGGTGTAGAAGCATGCGTCCTTAATCCACCAAACCCACATCCAAAATCATCTTAAAAGTAGTTCAATCAATAATCTGTCATTGACTTCTCTAGAGTGCAGACCACAGAGATCTCATTGTAATTTTTGTCTAATGTCCGCACCAAAGCAACTAAACTATCAAAATCTTGTTTCATCACCAACCATTAAACATTTCTCCCAAAAGTGTTTCACCAAATAAAAGCTTAGAACTCCTAGTTAAATGTGTCAAGTTCAAACTTTGAAATAAGTAATGAAAAATTTTAAAAATATGATGATATTTTTTTATTGTATAATCCACTCATCCAATAAACCAAAACAAAATACCTACAATCAATCCCATGGCACACCACATCCACAGACTAATACATCTCGCTTACTCCTGTATGGAAGAAGGAAACCAAATTGGCAAACAGAAACGGGAAACTGGATATTGTTTCCATCATGGCAATGGCTTAGTCAGAATTTGTAAGTAAAAGGGATATAAGTCATAAATATATATCAATACAAAAATAAAATAAAATAGATGCAAGAATATGTTGGGAAAAAGAATTATGAAACAAAGGAAAAAGAGATACCTTTATCCCTTTTAATTAAATTAATTGAATCCAATATCTAGAATTCAATAGTCAATGTGCAAAATCATCCACATAGAAAAAATTTAAAAAGAAAAATCAAATGAGACAATAATCATAAATAATAAAGTAGAAGTACAACAAAACCTATTATATTACTACCACGTAACTCTAGTCAAAAGTAATAGTTAATATGTTACTTTTTATGATCTTATTAGCTTGTGCTCTTTTAATTTTGTACAAGTGTGCTTCTGATGCATTTGTAAAATAAATAATACATTAAAATCCAAAGTTGAAAAAAATCTAAACTTAATTAACAATTTAAAAGTATAAAATAAAAAGTCTTTTTAGTAATAGTATTGGAATTAAAATAATAATTACTACAAAACAATAGTTACAAATTCTCATATAATAGATTTTTTAAAAAAAATATAATAATACAATAATTTTTTTTTTATTTTTCAAAAATGTTAAAGCATATATAGGTGTTATATTTTATAGTCTAGACTATAAAATATTTTTTCATTAAAGCATTACTTAAAAGCTACAATTTATATTAAAATTTTAAAATCTCAATTGAAAAGAGATTCTTGTCCAAAAAAAAAAAATCAAAAGAGATTATATTATTGTGTGTTAGGTTTAAAATTTTAAAAACCTAATTCTAATTGAAGAATAATTCGGATGAATAAAGGAAAGTAAGTAATTAAATGTAGTTAATTAACTAAAAAATTAAGTATATTGGCAAGCCATACAACTCTTATTCTCCTTTAAAGTCTATTATGTTTGACTCAATATATTTTATTTAATTTTTAAAATAGACCTATATATATACTAAAATTTATTTAACTTTAAAATTTTAACATAAATTTGTTTTCAATATTTTAAGGGGGGGCCTTGGCCCTCGCAGTCCCCCCCTTATCTCCGCCATTGCATCATGGGGTAGGGAACTGGAAGGGAAAAGAAATACCAAAGATTGAAGGAAGAAAATAAAGAAGTCCACATTAAATCAACATGATCCAACAAGAATAGTGTTCAAGCTTTTTCTTCAAACTTGCATTCACACATGAAACATATAATTAAACATCTGAAACAGAATAATGGGATCATTGCACTGGAAATACACTATATAACTAATAGCTAGGAACAAAAGCAGTTTGAAAGGTTACTGAGACAGTTGACAAACTGGAAACAGCAACAGATAGCCTCGCAAGTGTAACTGCAAAGTCAACCCAAAACACCAAAAGATTACAAAGAGTTTGATAATAGAAAATAAAGAAAAAGGAGATATGATGTGCATGTTGGAAATTTTATGTGGGTTTCTGCTCAATGTATTTAGTTTTTTTTTTTTTTTAATTAGGTCAAATGAAAAATTAATAAAGTCTAATAAAATTGTGTGATTTAAATTAAACTAAGTTTTATCTCATTTTTATATAGTGTGATGTGAATAAGTGTAAAGTTTGAAATTAAAGGTATGTTACTTGATTGGAATGCTTAAAAAATTATTATAATAAGTTAGATCTCTTTTTTATTCAAAAAAACCCTATTTTTATAAATAGTAAATAATAAAGTTCAAAACTGACATAACTCATTAATTAATTGTTATTATATAGAAGTCGAATAAAAAGAGAAAAACCTAAACCTCAATCATAAAATGAAATTATAATGATTTTTGAAGGTCCTTGATAACATTATAATCTTGCACAGATGAAAATACATAATTTATTTATTTTGTTATATTTTGGTATTTTAAATTTCACATAAATAAATTTTTAAATTTTAATATACGATTTCAGAGCAGTCATATCATGATGAATTTAGGATCCAAGATTTTGTTCTATAGTACCTTATGTTATGTTTAACGAATTACAAACCAAATATTTTTGGTTTTCGAATATTAATCATGAATAAGTGACTAAAATTATACGCAAATTTCACTAATGAACAGTGAAGTATTTTGAGGTGATTGATTAATTAACTATGGAATGGTTTTTTGTGGTTTAAACATTGAGTCGTGGACTCTAATTGCATATAATCATGGTGCTCCTTGTCTCAGTAAAATTCAATAATAAAATAATTGTGACTTGTTATGTCGGAATCTGGATGCGTTTTCTGAAGGAATTTACTTAAATCAAGAATTTTTTTTTGAAATAATTGTCATCGGAGTGAAACGTTGCCCTGAAAAAGGAGAAAAATGAATATTTATAAGAATGGTGGATGCCACTCCTCTATGGTTCAATGAGAAATTAATTGAAGTCTTTAATTGCTTTAAATCTGTGTTAAGTTTTGGTTTTATGATAGAATTCGAAACTGCGTTTCACATTATGATCGTAATTGTGTTTTAATTTACTTATGTCTAAATTAAATTTGGCGTTTTGTGCATCTACAGATTCTGGTACGTGTGAGTTAGGGAAATCGCAAAAAGGACATGTTTTGATTGTTAGGGATGATTGAAGAGAAATCCCTCATCTAGTTTCTTAATAGTTTTGTTTATTGTAAAAGTTTTAAAATTTTAAAAAACATTTTAAGATTTATTTAATCTATACCATAGGATATAAGTTAACAAACTATTAATTGTATTTTTTGTAATTAACTTATATAAAAAAATAAAAATTGATTTTAAATTTATTAATTATCTAATTAAAATTATCAAAATGATATTGATATTAAAAATAATATCTTATTTTTACATTTCTTTATAAAAATTTATTACA